TAGGTATATTGAATTTATGTCGCTATAAATATCTTATAATCTCAGTAAGGTTTTTATAATCTTTACCTAAATCTAGTTTTTATATATTCCTAAATTAGAATTAAGGACTATATAGGTTACATTGTTTTTCAAATAATATTTTGTAAATGTAATATGAAACATCCACCTACAATATAATCTTATGTTTATGATTCAGCTTCCAATTCCAAAATATAACTACTTAATTTAATTTTTCTTTCCTAATATTTATTACTGAAAATTCCCCCAAAAACTTTGTCTAAAATTTTTTAGCCAAAGAGTTGAAACTCACAAACAAAAAATGTTACCAATTTAAACAAATCGACAATTGTATCTTAAATATCACGATGATGATAATAATTAATTAACGGCATAGTATAAAATATACCAGGGTTCCTTAAAATCTAGTATCATAGATACTAGATGGGTGGGCGTAGAAATATATTTCATGAGAAAATGTCCACAGCTTTTTTAAATGAGATCCCTTAGAAATATCATATCGTGATAGTAGTATATCGTAGTACCTACGATGGAGTAATGTAGGCTATAAGACTATCCTGTTGATAGCGCAACTTGTTATTATGTCATAATGATAAAACTTTCATAGATAGTCGGAGCTTGTTCACATTGTGATTACGGACTATATTCAAAGTGCAAAGTATCATTTTCAATTACTGCCTTGAGTGCTCTATATAAGGATAAGTGCGGTGTCTAAGGGTACCGTTGAAGCTTGCCATCTAGTCAATTGAGTGAAATAGCCGGGATCCAATTAAAATATAAAAAGTAGTGGACGCGTCCTGCCCACACGTATAGCTGACCAGCCTGTCTAATAAGCTTTTCTAGGAAATTATATAATGTACGAATGAAGTAGAATGAGAATGATAATTATGATCTTTTTTACAAACCGTTTTCAGAAAGGAGGCGGGCCTCAAATAGACAAATGATCGATTCAGTTTTGTATACCTGAGAAGAAATCTGTGCACATTCTTATTCAGTATCTTATAACGATTGTGATACTATTAAACAAATATTTATAGAAATAGCAATTGCTATTGAGATGTCGTTTGATCCTAAAAGGCGAAATAGATTTTTGTATATTAAAATATATGATTTTTTTTTTTCACTTATACTTGTTATACTTCTTAAATAACCCTTGTTGGGATTTAATATGAATTTCCAAATCCAATAACAAATATATATACATACGAAGTCTGAATATCGAACATTTTATTACATTTGTATGGTTATGTAAATAATATGTACTTTTAATATAAAAACTAAAGAGCTGTTTATTCTACCAGTAGAAGGAAGAGTAATATGATATTTGTCTCTATTTGTGTCTATAGCCATATTTACTCTCACTGGTAGAGACAGTGAACAATTCTCCTTACAGACTACCACTGTATCATAATTATTGGAGTAAAATAATCGTATAAATAAAATGTTAGACGAATACCTACTTGTTGTTCCTAGCAATGAACGTGTACAAAAACGAGTGCAAAATAAATGCCGCTGAAGCCTTCTGGCTATTTTTAGGAACCATTTCACGCGTGACTAGGTTGAAAATAATTTACGTACTTGTGCTTAAATGCTTTTCACCCTTTTGTAAACAACAACAGGAGCTCTGATGTTGTTAGGACGTCGTTCCGTTCTGAATGACCAACATTTTGAAATAGGTACTGTTCCTGATGTTTTTTTTAGGGTAGAATTAACGAATTTCATATGATCTAGGAGGAGACTAAAACACAATAACTAGCTATAATAATAAAAATTTGCTATATGGATGGACATGACTGTACTTACCTAGAATCATTACTTAAATGCTTTTATTTTTTCCACCTACATAAATGTAGAAAATTATCGTAACCCGCAGTATTCATAATAACAGATGTTAAAACATGGAATCCGTTAAAATGTAGTATTTTGTGATTTTATTAGCGGTTCAAGTCACATCACCTGCGGCCAGAATTAAGACGTTAGCGGCGCGCGCCCAAATTGTGATCATTAACTCCAAATCGACTTCATTATGGGCGTCACGCGATTTTCTTTATATCTGCTACATTTATTTCATCTTTATTACATATTTGCAAATTTATCATTGCCATGCACTGTAATTTTAGGGAATCGACCCGCCAAAAGTTGGACAAAAAGGTACTGATGATTAAATTACTGTTGTCAAATACTTTAACATTGTCAGAAATATTATAAAAAAATATATGACACGCAAAAATTAAGTCCTATATAGAGCGGCACAGTTTTAATACTCAATACGGAATTAATTGTCACAGTTACAAGTCTCAAAGATGACCAAAAAATCGCCAAACACATGACTGTGTCAAGACCTCACAAGCAAATCTTACTAATGGTGGCAAGTCATGACTCAGCCTATTTCAAGAAAGTTAACTTATATTTCTAGTTCAGTAAATAATTCAAGATACAATAATGTAAACAGTTTTGTGCTTTGTCACAGTAACAATTTATTGCTAATATATAGATAGGAGGAGTAAATGTTTGCATAGTATTTAATGCTCGTGACTATACTGGCAGAAGTGTTAACAAAAAATCGCAAAATAAAAACTAATCTTTGATAAAAAGTGTTTGGTGTTAATTAGCGAAATCGATTGCCTCGTATCGATATAATGCGACTCACTGCCACTTCGAAGGTATCAATTTTCATATCAATGAAGAGGATTATTTCTAGGAACACCAATATGGGGCTTGATCATTGTGCATAACAATGGGATTCCGGGGCCGGATGTACTTACATATGCCGCTACGCTCAATTCGTTTCTCGCTTTTTTTCTTATTGGACATCATTATTATAACATATCTAACTTGCTATCTTATTTATTTTCTTAGTCGCCGTTACTATTCAAAATGAAGATGTAGTTTTTGTGGTTCACTCAGCTCGGGAGTAGCTTATTAGTATAGTTCACGCTCTAATGGTAACCAGGTTTTTGTTCCATTTCTTGCCGCGATACATCGGTTGATCGAGTGATTTTATAAAGTAATATTGATCCGTACATAAGTAAATAATGAATATGGAAGTTACAGTATGAAATCAACTGTTATTAACCTCATAATAATTCAAATGAAGCTTTCAAAGGAAATATGTACCTAAAGTAAGAAAGTGCTTATTACACTTATATATCTGGTCATCTCTTTTAATGACTTTTATGATGTAATGGAGCTGCTTCAATTACACTATCATTTCTTGTCCTTGATTAGTGCCACTTGTGTTCGGGCAGAACATTTATTCTGATTGCCAGGTAGGTGAAATTTCGCAGAAATATTTTCGAAATGTGAAGATGAGATGAGAATACTCAATTAATGTAAAATCTTAATTTTAATTTTGCAAAATAGTAAAACAATATTGTTTCATTTAGCTCTCGTTTACCTACTTATTTCTATCTTAGATATGTTTTAGTCAATGTTTTGTGAAGACTAGCTCCATTTCTTACTTTCTAATTATTATGCTATGTGTAAAGTAAGCAAAATATAATAGGAGGATTAGAAATAAAATCTTAGTAGAATAAAGTTGGCATGAGGTAAACTCATGAGTATAAATGAAATATTTTAATCTTATGAGAAAGCGCTATTTATATCAGCTGAAATTCGTCAATATTTTGGCATACACTTCAGGGTCAGAGGCTGATAGGTGAAGTATTTAATTCGTATATATTTATATCACTCAATACACTTTAATAATCTAGATCGCTTAACGGTTCCATTTCATTGTCGGTCTCTGCAACTATACATCTTCAAATCTCAGCAACGCGTGTTTTATTTATTTGGATTTTATTTTTATTGGTAAACGTTGGAATACAAAAGCCCATTAAGGTTTATCGAAGGGGATCATCTTGGTCTTTGTTGCCGTGAAAGCCAAATAACAGAACGCCGTTGCAGAGTGTACTTTCTACGACGTTGACAATTTGGCCGAAATATAGTTCAATGCAACCGGTTACACCACTTTCAGTTTTTTAGTTCAAAATTAACAAAAAAAGTCACATAATTCAGTGTAAATTTCAATGTTGAAAATTTAATTGAAATATTGCTAATTATAATTTCTCATGACTATAATGAAACTGTGTAAGATAGCTTTTAATTTTTAATTAATTTGTTGGTATAATTGCGAGTAAGGTATTTTACTACCACTCGTATTTTACTGTGTGAACTAACTGTATTGTTTGTACAATATTAACTAATAACTACCTAAAATAATATCTATATCAAGAAGATAGACGGCTAAAACTACACAAATAAGAACTACAGATTATTTCCAACATAAACATTATATTTCACTACACTATCAACTACTATCTATATTAAAGTATTATAATTGTTATATGGATCGTATAAGTATTTTATAGCTATAAATACAAGATAGAATAGAAATTCCACTCACAACATACATAATTCTTAGGCTAGTCCCAGGTTTTCAAATCACTAAATTGTAATTATTAAAAAATGTTCATCATAAAATCCTAAAATCCATAGAGAAAATATTACACAAATTCATACACCAAAAAATCTTTCCAATAAGTCATAACCTGTCATCAAAAATTTCGCTTCTATGATTTATAATGCAATTAAACTTACTTTTTGCACTAATACTTAACAGTTAGATTTATGCTAATATAAATATTCCGGCGTAAATTATTCAATTAAATTCATTCTAATAAAAAATATTTTTAATGATAATTGATGGAATGAAATTAGTACTCGCTTTAAATGTTAGGCTTTTTTTTAATAATTCGATGTTGGTGGCATTGTATAGTTTCTTCTACACAAAAGGCTAATAAAAATTAATGATAATTGTATTTTAAAGTTACTTTTTTGTTAGAAACATTCTTAACAATCAGGTTGGATTGAGACATCTGCGATTACTTCATTCACATCAAAATAATCGTTTATGAAGAATATTAGCTTTTAATAGGTTTCTTAGTTTGACGTTGTTATTATAGCTATTATTTTGTTTCCAGGAATCCAGACAGACCGCACAGAGCACGTGTTTGCATCCGCACAAGAGTACAAAGAAGCTCTAGAAGCAATACGGAGAAATACCGGAGCTGTAAGTTCTGTTAAGTTATTCCGGATTTATGTTTTGATTCAATTCCACTGCTAGTTAGTTACTGTCGTTTTATTTACATCCACGTTCAAATATATGTACCCAAAAACTATGTTTAATTAGGTATATGTATAGTCAGTGAGAAATTAAGTGAGTGCCAGTAATTTCAGTGACGCTAAAAGCAATCTTCGTATGTTGCTTTTTTTTTAATGAAACATTTGACAAGTATATATTTATTCCTGGATTAACTTGATTTATTCAATTTTGGTTTACTCATCTACTGGAGAATCTTATTAGTTTTAACATAATATATACAGATTCAACTCACGTCATAAAAAATATTAATGATCACATATTATGTACAGCAAAAAATTTGCAATAAGAGAAATTAAAAAAATTTAAATATAACGTAACTGAAACACAATTCGGATACAATTTCTATTGTATACCATATATATTAATTATGAGACGCTATCTAATTAAATTGAATGACTCCCACGACAAGTTCTTTGAAATTATGTATTTAAACTTAGCCATTATACCGGTAGACGTACAAACAGGTTCACCTCAAAATGTGCGTGCATGTCAAGTTATTTGTTTATTTAAACATATCGTTTGTTATGAACTAATTGCCCATTACTGTTTATTGTCGGTTAAACGTGTATACCTCACCGGTGGAAACCCAGATACCTTTGAAATTACATTTTACTTAATTCATTATTTTAATGTAATTTGTTACACAAATAATAATAATAATTTTTGTCTTCTATACAAAAAAATCTGCTCTACATAATCAGGAACGCAGTAAACCGCAGCGTACTCTTGAAGCACAGTCCGAGGATTCTCGAGAAGAAGATGGACAGGAGTACTTGAATGAGGTGCTGGTACCGGAACCTTGGGAGCTGAACAACACCGCGCGTGCTGGTGTCGAACTGCTGTTCTTCAACCGGGTGCCAAAAGTCGGCAGCCAAACTTTCATGGAATTGCTGCGACGCCTATCCATCAAAAACCAATTCGGTAATAATTTTTTTTTTTTCTGTATACTAATAAACTAGACAATGTGACAATCTATCTGATGATAATGGTCGCCTGTACGCATGAATATCACCATGGATATCCTGTCTTCATGTTACGCCTCTGGTACTCCTCATACGTTGTTATGTTTACGTATCCTGTAATTACACTATCATATCTCAACTGAACTTCAACTGACTTATATTTTAATACAGAGACAAAATTGCACAAATTCTAATTCATTCATTGCTAAAAATTACTATTAACTACTATTACTACTCAAAATTACATAACTGATGTAGAGATTGTCTCAGGTATTGATATGTCACCTTTCTTGTTTGGTGAATGGTAATAAACTAATTATTGTTTTGTAGGTTTTCACCGTGACGCGGTGCAACGTGTGGAGACAATCCGCCTCGCGCCGCCCGATCAGGAAATACTGGTGAACTTGGTGTCAGCTCACGAACCACCTGCCTCCTACATAAAGCATGTTTGCTATACTAACTTCACCAGGTATGTAAACGAGACATTAAAGTTAATTAGGGAAGATTGCCGAAATACCTAATACCGTAGTTTTTTTTACATCACTGGTTCTCAATTTAAGGTAAAGGGCCATATTATGAGACACCTTTTGAGTAGGAGTTGAATATTTTACATTGTTTAAAAAAAAATAGAGTTGAAACATTGAATTTTTCTAAGTTAATAGTTTGCCTGATATCTACTGAAGTGATAATAATTATTATCAAGTGAGTTTTAGTTGAAAATGCTAATAAATTGAATAAAATAACAGACAAGTACATACGGCCGTATTTATGAAACAGTCTAAAGCAACACGTACGGCTGTTCCATCGGGAATGTCCCAAATTATGGAACTCAAAATGAACTGAAGTACTCGCATTAAAAACATTTTTCAGTTACTAATTTATTTATTCATAGTATCAAAAGTTTTATTATTAATTATTAATACAGTTAGATTTAAAAATTATACGAATAAACAAGCAATAAATAAATATTCACTTACAAGTAAATATGACAAGAACAGTTTCAAATCTTAGGATTAATAAACAAGATATAAAAACCAAATATACATTAAATTAAACCAAAAATTCAACTATTTCATTTCTTCTTGGATCCTTTGTAGTAATGCGTTCTCTAGTAGCTTTTTCCGTTCATCAGCTATCACTTTTTTCTCATTTAATAATTGTTTTCTTTTATGTAGCTTTTCTTCTTTAGTTTTACGATCAGTTTCTTTTTTTGAGTCATATTGCATCCATTGATCAGATATGCCAGCAGAAGGTAGTTTGAGTTTACCTGATGACTCAACTTTAATCCATTTTTTCTTGACTTCAAATTCAACTCAAATATTAATTCATCACCAACATTACGCACAATATTAAATTTATATTAACAAAATATTAGTTAAATTTAGTCAATTTAAATTACTACTTTCATTAATACCAGAATGAGCTTCAGTAACCATATCTAAAGGTTCATTTTTTACTATAATTTCATACAGTAATTACCTCAGGAATGGCCGCTTTGTTGAGACTGGGTACTGGTATTTATCAGAGGAGAATATTTATTAGAAGAATGACAATCATTGTTAAGTGTCATGTAATCATTAGTTTTATCATTCGACTTGATTATTAATCAAATTATTTTCTTACGGTTCTGTTCTTTCTCTAAAAATTAAAATTTACCAACGTCACTTCTTTGACAGTTAGTTTATTTATTTCATGAAAACCAACCAATATCAAATTATAAAAATTATACCAAACAATCAAAATTAATAATAACAATATAAAACAAGTCTATAGAATAAAGATATCAAATTCAATAAAAAAAATGTGTCTACCTATAAAAATTATTAATTTAAAAACATCTATAAAAATGTGATATGTAGGTGCTTCGTAAAAATTTTGAATAAAATAAAGTGTTATTAATTTTTTCAGGCAGGTTTTCCACTTAAGTATAAGTTTTAATTAACATAAAACAATATCATCCAGCTTATTCATTTTTGAGGTTAGTTTTTTATTTTCATGGAAATTTACAATCTATGTACTTATCTAAATGCAAATTTTTATAAATATAAACTGTTCTAACGTAAATTGCTTTGTTATAATTAATTAACAATTATTAACACGAAATTAACTAAATATTGTCCACTTATTGCTGTTTCATAATTACGGACAACTTAGAAAATCGAATGTGAGGGGGATGTGGAACACTGAATATACTGTTCCATAAATACGGTCTGTTTAGAAATTTTTGCGGCAATTATGAAACACCTAAATAAAAAATAAATACCTTATTAAAGTACTTTAAATTCAATATCAATCAATAGATTATAAGTCAAACTTTTGATTAACATGTTTCAAGTATTTTTGAATCATTGACAAATATTTCAAATTGTTAAAACAATTGTGATGACACCTGTCATTCTCTAACTCTAAAAGACAGTCTTTTTTCATGCAACCTGACACGTGCATTTCACTATTTTTTTTTTCTATACATTTTAAGGTGTTTACCAAAATAAATTAATTTAATCAATAAATAGGTTATTAAAGATCATAAAGATAATATTATAAATACTGAATACGTTAGAAATTATTTGTAATTCAGATTTTTATCACTTGTTTCATAAACTAGTACAATGTTCCATAATATGGCCCTTTACCTTAATTCAAATCCATTCAGTTGTTTCAAAATGATTGTAAAAAAATCTATAAAATTAATATGTGTCATTATTAAATATTTTGTGGTAAAACGAAAGATTTAGTCACTCATAGTAACTATATTAGTTTTTCAGTTACAAAATTTGAGCGCGTTTGACCACAATAGTTTCATACAATCATGTAATAAAAAAAGTTCTCACGAAAGTAAACGACTACCATGACCTGTAATATCATGATCATACAATATATCAGGATTTCCTTACGTTGAAAAAATAAAAAGGCACCGTCTTCTATTATACTTTTTATAAGTTTATTTCCAGCATCAAACTAATTAATCAACAATAGGTAACATCAATCACAGCGCATGCGCAGCATTATTGGCTATATCGATACTAAATACTCGCGATGATTAATGATATCAGTCCGACATTAATTGCTCGGTGGACGATTACATAGCCTCTATTTAAGCATTGTACAATTGTACAACAGCGGCACGTGTACAACCGTTAAATGACTCTATTGTTTGGGTTGTAACGTAACGGAAGAAAAAAAGCACTGTTTTGGAATATTCATGACATCTCAGTGAGATCATTAGCGCGTTTATTTAGTTTACACACATTTGTTTATGAATTAATAGCTTCAGTGCTGCAATATACAGGGACGGTAACGCTATAAGTATTCTCGGACAGTTTGTTGTAAAATCTAATTTAAAATTATAATAAAACCGGTTATAAGTGTACTTAGTTATCCGGCACGCATAATTACATTTGCATAACATTGTTTTAAATTTTTAAAATGACTGAAATAATATTCAAATTCAGACATAATTTAAATTTCACAAAAATAAATATAAATATGCATGTTTACTTTAATGACTATCCAACTTAGACACCCAGATAGAAAGAAACAATTAGACTTCATGAATGTACAAAGTTAAAGTCTATATGTATAGAACGAAATTTTTGTCTCAACTCTGACTAATAATAATAATATAATAATAATAAATAATAATCACCTATGACGAACACCAGGAACCTCACAAAATATAATAATAATAACTCTATATTGCGAACAAAGAAACAGTCTAATAAAAGTATATTAAAAATATTTTACAAAAGGCGGTCTTATCGATATAAGCAATCTCTTACACACAACCTCCTTTTGACAGAAAGCATTTACATAGAGAAGGAATGTAGGAGGCGCACACTAGACAATTATACTTATTACAATTTACAATAAACATACATTTTATAAACCTAAAAATTAAACTTACACATTAATACATATTATATCGTATACATAATGGATTAGAACAAGAAGTAATTTAGGTACTATATATTCAATAACAGAGAGAATCCATGAGATTTTAGTAAATTTGAAATACGATATATATTGTATGCAATATACTATGACTGAAATGTTAGCATTCATGTAAACGTGTTAAGCTTCTGTTTCATAAATAGTACTACTATATCCAGTATACAGTTTAAATAAGTATACAGCTTGCAAAAGAAACTATATATCTGTAAATAAATATATAATTAGTGAAGATAAGGGTAAGCAGACGACTTCGTACATAGTTGGATTCTTCAACTAATGATTAAACTTTGTTTTCTGGTACTACATAATACTATTTGAAATTATTTTTACAGAACTTGTGAACGCTCATGGTTTCAGGTACGGTTACCCGTCTCCAATTTACGTGAACGTGGTACGGGATCCGGTGGAGCGTGTCATCTCGTGGTACTACTACGTGAGGGCACCTTGGTACTACGTTGAAAGAAAACGGGCCTTCCCAGACTTACCGCTGCCTGACCCTGCCTGGTTGAAAAAGGTTAGCTCATTAAAAATCTATTGACAATAGCGGACGTGACCAACTACATTTCGTAAGATTTGGACAATTCATTGAAGTCGTATTTATTTTATGTTGATGTCATCATCTTCGCATTTGTTCATTCACTTATTAAACAAGACATTCACTAAAATTTGAGGAATATTAATCTGGATTATTAAGAAATGGAGTCAATATAAATATGTATGACAAATATACCTACTTCGTATATTTTTGGTGTGTTTATATTCCGATATTTATTTTATACATTATGTTAGCTATTACCACTGCTAAATTAAATAACTAACCATTAAAAAACCAATAAACCAATAAATAACCATTCAGTTCCAGTTACATTGTAGCCCAGAGATCCGGATATAGTTTTTACAAAAAGAAATACAAATAAACAAACACAAAAGAATCCAATAACAAAACAAAAATAAGGAAAGTTACCAAAAAATAATACGAAATAAAAATTATGTAAGGCGATATCCAGTCTGACGTAACGAGTAGATACTTGATGCAGTAAAAGTCTCTAAGTAAATTATTACACAGTCGTAAGATTCTGTAGAATAACAAATTTATTTATGTTGACAAAAACACATTTGTTGCTCAATTAATAATTTCTGATTTGATCCACGTTGAGCTCAGGAGAGCCTTTGGCACGTTGCAAATCATTCCACCTAATAGGACCCGATAGTGATATACCTTCAAGAAGAGGTCGTTTATTGCGACGATATGCTCTCTAACCAGACTTCATTCCAATTCTGTGGTCTTTCACTGACCTACCAGAACATAACCACGATGGAAACAAAAAAATAACTTCTGTTAGAGAACGTACTTTAACCCAGTTATTCTGCTTTTGCTTCAGTATAAGTTGCAGTAATAACTCTTAGAAATTCATTTAGTTCCCATAGACTTCCACAAGACTCTGAGCATCCTCCTCCAACCCTACAATGTCACTACATATAAGGAATAAAACTATTTATATATTAGCATTTTTAATACTACTAACAATTACAAACAGGCCTACTAACGGAATGCGATACACTCTGCTCTATTAGACAAACCACGAAGATCACAAAATATGTGCTGCAAATAACAGTCATGAGAGGTGTTTCGTTGCCGTGCCTGAGGCTTAAATAGATATTGTAATACTATTTGTTTCTAACGTGTTATTTACGCCTTTCGTGTCAAAAATTGCACCAGCGAGTAGTATTCATTTGTATATTTAGCGAGTTACACAAAACTCTATCTCTAATATCAAACTGAAATACAAACAGCACTACTACTGTGTATTGCATTATGAACTAATTTGTCTCAACAAGTATTTGTGTTTAATTTAATTTATTTGAGATAAATCAAAATTTACCTAATTTTGTTATCTCCTGGACGAGTCTTGCATTTTATTTATTTGTACACTTTACATCAATGATTATAGATAACATGTTTTAACAGTAATCCCTGCACTAAGCTCAAGGCTTGTGTCTCAGGAATCAGAACTCTTTCAATACAGAAACTTTGACTTAATACAGGCTCCAGTTCAACTAGGCACAAAATTAACAAATATTACATTGGAAAGTAATTTACAAAGAACAATAAAAAAGAAGGGAAAGTCTGTCTACCCAGTCCGGGTACTTGAAATTGAAGTCTTATTTTTAATTAAAGACTAATTATTAGTATCTAACTAATATTTCGCAACTACGGTATCTTTATAAGCAGATAGGTAAACGGCTTCATCGTATCAATTGCACACTGGAATTAGATTTTATTTTCCCGCCGACATGTTGCCTTCGGCTATCACACTGCGATTTCCACGGAGGCTGTTTATTATCTCCGGTCGATCGTCCTACGTCAATTTGCGGATCAATCGATACACAATCGGTCACGCGCGACGCCCGTTAACTGCGCCGGAGTTGATCCGAAGAAAAAAAGCGTGTAATTCGCGCTCGTCAACGACCCGTAATTGATGAGATAGTACGTTTTTACCGTCCAACTATCTATTGGCTTATTATTTGTAAAACTAGATAGTACTTATCTCTCGCACATCACATTTTTTACTTACTGCCAGTAACGTATCTACTAGTTATCTCGTAACGATGAAATCTATAATGCAAACATCTATTGGTTTTTTATTTGAAATTTGATAGTCGATTAAATTCTGTAAATAAATAAGTTTTGTGTTTATATCGTTCGGGATTCTGTAAATAAGTACCTAAGTGGGGAAGAATCATTGACATGTTTTATTCCGTTATTCTCGTGAATTGTTTCGTTAGATTTTGTTCCAAAGCGGCATCGGTCACGACGAGACTGATGCGTGCCGAAGTCAAATCAAAAAATCAATGATCAAATTCAAAGATCGAAATGATAAATTTAATTATAAAAAACACAAATTGACCATATGTAGGCCGATACCAAGAAGGTAACAGTTGAATTGTTCTAAAGGTTTATTATTAAATTATTGGAGCCAACTAGCAACGTTAGCCTTTGTTTTTATTCTTTTTAGGCATATAATAAAGATATACCTACATTATATATTAAACAACAGTTTATGATTTCTTTACACTATAACCCTACAGGTGAATATATCTTGCATAAAATAATGCTCTAATAATTTAGTCTTAAACCTATCATAGAATTGCCGGAATAACTATTTTTTTTATTTTTTTTAAGGACGCCGGAATATATAAATATATACGAATATCGACTGCATTTTACGTTCACAATTGTGAGCGGACATTATTGGTTCCATTTCTAGCAATATACCGTGTCAGGTCAATCTCCACGCGGTTTCTTTTTCTGGAAACCACGATGGTCAATAAATCTGTAAAAAATAATTTCTTTGACAATATATTCACCGTGAAGAAAGAAAGCACTGGCTTGAAGTACAAGCTAGTACCTACAATCTACCAAATGTCCCTAAGCAATACGTAGACTAGTTTATTAGTATTTGTTGCCTGTAGCTATTAGTCTGACACCTCACACCAAGTTATTATGAGAATTAATGGTACCAAAAGGTATCTAAGAGTAGCGCAGCTGCGTGTGCACAAATTTTTCCTAGTCAATTATCAGCCTATTGTTGAGAGTAGATACTTTGAATAAGGAGCTGCAGGCGTGGGTAGACAATAGTTAAACAGAGTTTGAATACCTAAGTACATGTTACTCGTGTCAGGTCAGAACTTAGTTAATGGGGGCGCGCAAAAAATAAATTAGTTTTGTATCGACAAAAAATTGACGTTTTAATTACATTTTCGTACAAAAACTAACCATAATATACTTGTTAATGCTTTGTCATAACTGTCCGAACTATTTTGTATACTTATAGTTTAAGTTTTCTTCGGTACTTTTATTATATGTATCTTAAGAGAGTTTAATTAATCAATACATGATCTACTATCATATTTACTCATTCGAGAATATTTCTTTCTCATGTGATGTTGATTAAGTTGCTATCTAATTTATGTATAGACTGTTCAGACTATCTAGAAATAGTAAACCATAATGAAAATCCTTAATTATTTATTAATAACCAAAATTGCCTGCATCCATATTGGTGAAAATCTTTATCTCTTTCGATGGGGTTAAAATAAAAAAGGGATAGAAATATTACAGATAGCGATTTGGTTTATCCGTTTCTTTCAAATCTATTTCTTATATGTAGGTATTCTTGTTTAAATATCTATTACTTAGATTTGTTTCGGAAAGTACAAAAATTCTACCAAGAAGTTGTATGTAAAAACAATAAGTATATAACAAAAATTTGTGACACAGAAATATGTTCGATACTTTTATTAAGTTTGCGGCCAGAACAACACGTAACATCCCGTTTTAGGCGTCGCAGCAAAAAGTTAACAATTTAATTCTGATAACGGTAAACTTAATACAAATGATTACTTTTTCTTGTGTTTTGAGACAGACCACTAGCCTATAAACACTTCCTGTGAACTGAAGCTAGTTCCAAAAATAACATCGTACGGCACGTCATTTTTCCTATTCCTATATCTTACACTAACCACCACTAACACTAAATGTCTTACGGTGGTCATTACAACTTGTTAAATTATTTGTTTACCTAGCCATATAATTTGAGATTCTCTATATAATAACAATTTATTTTTAAATATGCGATTTCCTTTCGTGAATTCGGATACCAACGCAAAATAGTAGGTATTTGCTTAAACTATATTTCAGTGTAATATTAGATTTGCATCGGCAAAATATCACTGAATTGAGCACCACCATGTTTCAGATTTTTTTAAATTAAAAGTTCAGTATCAAACGGTCTATACTCAACACTAAATTCAGAGTCAATATGGGATGATCAGCACTAATGGGGCGAAAATCGGCTGAGAAATCGTCTCTGATTTTATTCCACACGGAGCGATCTAAGTTGCCATACAGAGTACTGTGATATTGCCGCATATTTTTGTGACGTGTGTAGACCGTGTAACGTCTGTAAGATAAACGAGATCAGTAGAAGTACACGACCTCACACATGATAAAGAACAATAAATTATACCTCGTTCTAGCAGAGAAAACGAATAATACTTTTATTAGATAGTATTTAAACTCACTGGCGGAATTGCAGAGTTTATGGAAGAATACACGTAATGAAGTCCTAAATATTATATGCCTTAATGTCGACAGGACTTCGAGACATGTGTGTTGAGCGGCGATCGCGAGTGTCGCTACTTGGAGGGCGAAACTCATGAGGGCATCGGAGATCACCGCCGGCAAACACTCTTTTTCTGCGGACACGAGCCGCAGTGCACGTATGTACAGAAGTATAATTATAATTCTTATTAGCTTTTCCAAATATATTCCTTTAACATAATTTTATGTAGACCAGAGCACGACATCCAATTTGGGATGTGCTGGATGGATATTACTTACATATAAGTAATGTCCATCCAGCACATTCCAAATTGGGTGTCGTCTTATATTGATTTGCATTACAAGTACATAGGTATACCTCTCCCAGATACTACATTTAAAAGGACAAGTAGGACGCGAGAAATTAACTATTTTATACAGATTCTGGACAGATAGATTCTTGATCACTGATTAGATAGAACTGTTACATTATTTATTTGAATATTTTTTATATTTTCTCAGAAGTTGTTGGCTCAGAAGAGCCTATCTTCTGTGATTTGTCATACAGATTGAGCGTATTATAAACACTATACTGCCTTGTATCGATGCGGGTTCGATCCCTCGTACGGTGTACCTAAATGTTTGTATTCATGTGTTTATATTGGTGTGGGTTTCTATGCATATTATACATATATATACAAAAAATTGGAATATAAATATTTCTATCAGTTGTTTACTATGTAACACAAGCTCGGTATAGCTTGGGACTAAATGGCTCTGTCCTAAGTGTATTATAGTTATTATTATATATAAAATTCTGACTATACTGATTTTCTTTCTATTTCTTCCTTTACAGGCCATTCAATTCCGCTGCAGCGCTACAACGTGCTAAGCGCGTGGTAGAACAGCAATATGCGGTGGTGGGTGTACTCGAGGACATGAACTCTACGCTTCAAGCGCTGCAGGCGTATATACCCAGGTTCTTCGACGGCGCTTTAAAACTTTATTGGGGTAAGCACCTATATATGATAAGTAAAGTGTTTTTTTAAGAATATCTATCTTTTACTTTATAGGCTATCTTTTATCTCAAGCAGATGAGTCACAGGTAAAAGCTAGTCGTCTATAAATATTATATCTTTTACTCATAATGTGAATCATAATCACATATCACCGATTAAACTAAGTAAAATTTATTTTTAAGAACATAACAATAATCTCAGTCAATGATTTTATATACCTCAGGTGTACCTACTAATCTTATATTACATTATACTGTAAAATCCTCAAGCGTAGTCAATAAATGTATATATATCGTACAAAAAGAGGTCGGTCACATAAAAGTTCCTTTTAAATTAAACAATATATTATATACGTGTATATAATTAAACAATTTATGTATTCATATTAGATTATAACAACGATAGTTTTACGTTTAACCATACTTGGCGAGTAATCCAAACGCCTACAATTCTATACTCAGCAAATACTGTTTTATAAGGTATGTTGCTAATGAAAAATTGCTAGTAATAACTTAAATGTATCTAATTCAAATTCTTTCTACTGTTAACAGTATCAGTTACATGCGAGTTCATAATTATATTTAAATCATTTACCTACTATATTATATTATTGCAGAGGAATTAAACACATTCAACCGGATCAACCGCAATGCATTCAAACCGCCCGTCTCCGAGGCCGTTAAACAAATAGTGCGAGCCAACTTCACCCGAGAAATTGAGTTCTATGAGTTTTGCAAACAAAGGTTACATATGCAACTAAGGGCATTACGGGATCCCACTATAACCCTCCCAACAACCACCAGAAGTCTTAGAAGGCGGCGGGCCCACCGATTAGTGGGGAGAGCGTAACTAAGGACTTGATGGGATACCCATCTGTGTAGACTATCTGTGAATTTAGTTAGTAAAGGACAATATGCCTTCGTTTTGTAAGAAGTTATTATTCTCCATGTTTCTCGTGGCATAGTTAATTTATGTCTGTGACAATGGTAAGCATTTTGTAATATTGTAAACGGAATTACCTACCTTCAATAAATCCAAAATGGAAATTTCACAAGTTATATGAAGGTATTTCATTTAACTATTTTATATTATGCTTCATCATCATCATCGCAGCCCGGAGGACGTCCACTGCTGGACATTATATTATGCTTACTGTTGGAAAATTATGTAATAAAATTATTATAATTTAAATGTAATTTATTAGTTAGTTTAGAAAAGGATAAAAAGTTGCATATATACATACTCAAACACAAATTGTGCTAGTTTGATAGGTAATAGTGAAATATTGAATGTAATATTTCACGATTACCTATCAATAATAATAATACATAAATAATAATAATAAATAATAATACTACAATTATAGTCAAATCTAATTCATTTTACGTACATATCAACACCTTTTATCTGAACATACAGATAAAGAAGATATAATTATAGAGGCTACGAAGGGATATTGATATAAGACTGTTACAATATACGTTAATATAGTTTCTGTCAGAACAATAACGTCTTAGTATAGATATTTGCAAAATTGTTATTTTATATAGTACCTACAGGTTTATCTTGAAAAGATGACTTATAGAAACTGCATTAAATATTTTATAGTTCAAGAATGTACACCTTATTATAACAAATTCAAATTAACCTTTTAATTTATTTTCACAATCTAAACGTCAACACCATAGGTACAATTTATTTATTAAGTATTTTTTACAATCTCTTTTATTATTTAAACACCCATATTTGAATACATATACATAGTACATAAAAGACAATGTACATACAAAGAAACTGTCCTTTATTAAAAAACCATTCTTTAAGCTATATTACATTAGACGTTTTTATATACTCAGCACATACTTAGTAATGCAGCCGCTTCTATGATGTAAGTGAATTCTAAGCCAATTCACGAAATAAAAATTAAAATACCTACAACTTTTTGAGACGTTGTAAATATGACTTACTTACTTTTATATACTTTTAGGTGCAAATGAGGTACAAAGTATAGGTATACATTGTACCTCATTTACACCTAAAAGTATAAAAATACCAAACTTAATAAGGTTATAAAGTTTGGTATTTTTATACAACTGAATGTTTAATACATTTCTAATTTTGTAAGATATAGGGTAGGCATAGATAATTAAAAATATAGGAAGTTTAAATCATTATCATCGGAATATATATTTATATGTAAATGCCGCCTTATGTTTTAAACTTCATCATTATTATTCTTTTATTTTCGTATACGTATGTTGTTATTAGATATAAGAAATATTTTGTCTGTTTATATAGATAGTATAAAAATAATAAATTGTACATATTGAAATAAAGTGATAATTCATCATCGTGCTGTAAAAACTTAAGGTGCAAGAAATTTTAATTAAAAACCTGGATCTTATTATGAATATACGTTGACTACATGTACGAAGCAAATTTGAGTTTTATCTGTACCTAAATAAATTTTAATTCATTACAATTTTAGACGACGTTTTTACAGTACGGAAAAGAAATTCAATTTGTTTAGAAACTATTATTGTGACTTTAGAACTATTGAATTACTATTTTGAAAAATCAAAATAAATGTATATTTTATGGTGCCGATTCCCTGACCAAGATATATACCAAGGAGTATAGATACCAAGCGAAGTGGTGCTATCAATCGAATATACGACAATGTATAGTTAATATTTTTCTGTACTACAGATTTTTTCATTTTTGGGACACTTCTTGTTTATTTTATATGACGTCGTATAATCGGTACATCGTAAAAGCATTTACGCATACATACACGCACATGATTTGGCACAATCTGGCACTTGAGAAGGTTAATTTAGCGTAAATAAATCTCGATCCAATATATAGGTTCGACCAATCTGGTTGCCAAATCGTGAGTGTATGTTGCGAGTTTTATTACTTACCTAGATTCTTAGCCTATTATTTTACTTAGTTGACTGTAACTAAAGCATAGAGGCATTTAGATATGGAATTGTATATCCAGTTTTTTAGGTACTAGTATAGACCGCAGGTATTTCGTTGTCAAACTATTGTACAAAATTCTTCTTCATAACTTAGCGTAGTGTAGTAAAGTATTGGTTGTATTTTCCGAATTATGCAAAATTATTGCCTTGCTGATAGGTTAAAAAAATAAGTCTAATACCAATCTACAAATATTTATAGCTATGTAGGTATATATTACGAAAGGATAGCGTTACTAGCGGAGTACTATTTTCTTTATTTACTATTTTCTTGTCATCCACGAAATATTCTAGACCTATATAGTAGGTAGGAATAATTATATTATTCATCTCCAATAGCACTTTGCCCATCTGATACGAAATTGCAACAATCACATTTCCGAGCCTTTTTTTAATCTTAGTTTTCCGGCACTTGTCATTTTTGTATATGATTTGTAATTTTTTTAAACTGCTGGTCCACCTATTAGGGAGTGGAAGTCCTAACGTTATTATACGAGCGTACAATACAATGAACATCAATTTTATAACTCTCATGCATCTTCTCCTGCGTTAGAATTACTGAGCATTAAAGTGTACTCTTACCTATTTTACTGCCATAACTTATCGTTTCAACCCCTCATTCATTCGTAATGTAAGAGCTGTGCTCTTGTCGGTTGAGCTCCAACCTCTACGTATTTAAAAAATAGTAAGTAGATACTATTATTGTCTATTATATGCCTCTTGTTAGCAATAAGATGTAGTCAATAAAACGAAGTTTCCGCAATATTAATCTATTGAAAGTCTTAGTCAAAATCCACAAATCGTGCATTAATTTGCTGGCTTGTCTGAGATTGTTCCTCAGTGTATCATCTATAAATAAGCTTTGTAAAGCACTTTCTATAATACAAATATGGTATTATTGTATAGAACATTACAGTAAGTGTTAGTAATAATAACATGTTAGTAGCACCAAGCTTTTTATTTATTTTACGTAACTAGACATGTATTGCTACTAGGATAATATTTCTATTAAGTATTGTATAAGGTACTTATACAAAATAAGTACGTTTAAAGATAGACATGTTTAATTTTAATCGTATATCTAGTTCTTGAGATAAATTCTCAGTCGATCCAGTAGTTGACTTGATAGTTTAACATCATAATCTACTTAATCCAAATTGTACCTAATAAGGATATTTTGTTTCGATATCATATGATAAATTGTGATATTTTCGCCTGCTAGTAATAAAATTTTTAGTATACACAATGATTTGATGGTTTTATTTCTTAACTACCATATTTAAACAATGTAAAATGAAGGAGACTATTAATTCTGCTTTAACTTCGATCTCTGCATGTTTCTCAGTTGATTTACCAAACCCAGGCTAAATGGATTATAATGCTATTTGCAATGGATGTATGGCAAATTTATTTTGTTATAATTCAAATATAATATTATCAGTTACTTATAGCTAAAATTACCGTATTTGTATTATGTAAGATGTATTATTTATATCTCGGTTACGACGACCTTTTTATCTGTAATATTATTACGAATATGTACCTATAAATATTACCGTGCGTAATTATAATTTATACTGTTGATATGAAAATTACTGAATAACTAATTACGTTGATATTTGTCTAAATAGGTAACCGCTGAGATTAATGGATATCTACCTACAGATCAATGAACCCTAGTTAGTTACTGGTATACCGAAACAAATCAAACAAAAAGGATTTCAATTATGCACATTAATTTATTATTAGGTAGATAATTATTTATTAAACAGATGTCAAATAATAATAATATTATAGGAAAATTGTAAAACTGCCATTCATACAGTAAAATTAATATGGCCACTTTTTAAAGAATTCAGGTACATAATATAAAATAAAAAAGACTTAATAAATATATTGCTTAGAAGTAAAAATAATTTATTTTATAATTCCTAATAGTCTTGTTGATAAAAATCTCAAAATCGAATTAACAATAATCATTATCAGTTCTGCTTAGGGAAGTGTGTCATGACTTCATTTCATAATTATAAAAATATAAATTCTAAATATTTCAGGCTCATAACATTGATACCGTTATATAATATAAAAACAGTAAATAGACGGTATTTTTTGGGCTTTGAAGGTCCTGACCTATATACAAATATTAATCGTGACTCAATTTACAGTTTAACATCAGTTTAAGAACATCACAATAATGTAACAAAGAATGTCACGACAAATATTCATAAATTACTGATATTATCTACACTTCATAAAGACGTTAATGTGAATAAAATCTCGCTAACTAAATGATGCTATAGCATACAATATTTCGATATAGACCTTATAAGGCTAATAGGTTCTGTAAAAAATGTATTAAAATATTAATATCATTCATATATCTTTCATATCGCTTTATACAAAGGAACAATGAAGGCATCCATTCGCTTTGCAGTCACCAAAGTCATTCTAGCGCGGTGTGCGCTGAAACCAATATCGCCAGTGTGTCAGAGGTGCTGCACCGCATTACATTTAAATTTATTGTCCTACAAGGTTGTTCTACGACATTCAACAAGATTCTAAAACCAAAACTTCCAAAAATAGATATTACATCGAGATGTCGTTATTTTTAATGGCACTCTAGAACGAGATGCAACTTCGTTGTGTTACTATCTACACCTAATCTACTTTATATCACAAAAACGCTTTACCACTTATAAGCCTCATTAATACAGGACTCCGCGCTCGCGTTCGAACAGATCGCTACCGCAATGGGCACAGGAATGTGACTAGCAACGGGTGTCAGCAGTGAGCAACGCTACATGCGCTCCCCTCATCAAATCACAGGATTTGGAGGCTTTCATTCTTTTGCCATCGCCGTTCCGATACTGACATATCTCTCCTCTGGGCTCAGCCCATGCAACGTCAGTAGAACGACGGGTGCCAGTCTACCGTCGGATGCAGTGGCCCAGGAGACGCTTGCAAAGGCATTAAACCTAGTGCTAGGCAATCAAAACAATAATTAGCTCCGCTGTTATTGTCCCAAAATTGCTGGCCTTTGCACTGAAATCTAACAGCGAGTTCCAACCTTTGACCCGATGATATAGAAGGTGCATATAAAACAAACTGAAATCGGTCCGAATATCCATCACAGGATCCCTGTACATATGAAGTCTGTAAGTCCGTGTACGTTATCCATCTGTTCATTGTATAACGGATATGTACGGTTTTATGAAAGTCCAAGTTGCGTACCCGTACCGAACCACATACGGTTACATGAACACCATCGCAGACTCGCGCACTTTCTAAACACACATTAAATATTTCAAGTTTATCCGCGACATCGCGAGCTAGTTGGAAAAGAGGAACCAATGTTAAGGTACCAAGTCGTAACGGACTTCGTACCGGAGGAGAATTTTGCATATCACAACCAGTGAGATCGTCATAAGCTGATTTTGGAATGACAGGAATTTCATCCATAAATGTTTTAACATCCGCTAAATCAAGTCCTAGAACATCAGCAAATCGTACGATTTTTTTACGACCAGGTGTACCAGGTGGTGTTTTACCAGTTTTTAAGGAAGAACAACGACGAACTCTTTGTGGTCTATCGTCTTCTACATCATCATTATCTTCATCTTTTATTTCCGCGCTCAAAAGTCTCGGTTCAATTTCAGGCGCGGGTGATATTTCTTTTTCAATAGGAACTTCACTGGTTATGATTTCTACAGGCTTCGACGGCAGTTCAGCTTCGTTCGTTTCTATTAATATATCGCTTTCGTTTGGATATTCGATTTCTGTGACTGATAAGTCTTCTTCTATCACGTCGTTGTTCAAATATTTATCAATGTGGAAAACTTCCTCAATACAATCTGATGGATCGCTTCTGGCCGATTCAAATTCTGAATCACTATCTAAGTTAACACTAAGTTGTTCTGGTAAACTTAATCGATCAATTCCTACTGTTGGAGAAGCCTTTCCTACGTAATTTATTTTATCAAAACTATTATGTTGCCCACAATCTTCAAATGTGATAGGAGAGAAAAGACGTTTATCTGCATGACCATTCTCACGTGGCGACTGTTGCAGTTTAACTGGAGATTCTGTAAAAAATACGGTGGAGAATTTGAACCCATTTTGAATTTTATCGGGATGGTGTAACACGAGTTTCATCTGTTCTTTAATATTAGTTTCTGAGTCCACATCATAAAATGGTTGTTCCTCGTCATTAGTAGATCTGACTGATGACTGTTCAGGAAAAGGAGGATCATATTCGTCGACTGGACTGGAAGGACTCTCGCACTCGAGTTCAAAATCATAAAAGGTATCGTGATCACGTTGGGTAGAAGTGGTGGGCCGATGTGCTGTGTTATCACCAGAGAGCCAGTTATTCTCGCAGTGCTCATCATGTCCACCACCTAGGTTGCGAAGCCGTGAATGTAGATCGCGCGCAAAGGCAACGGCGCGACCGCGACACGACATCGGCAGCAAAGATGTCAATCCACACTGTGACACAGAGTGATCATTACTCATCTGCGTCTGAAAAGAAAAAAATTGCTTTTAAACTTAGTGTAGGTAGGTACTTAGTTGTGAGGGATGACATTATACACATTTTACTCACAAGTACTTTTAAATTCTATGTGTATATACTAAATATACGATTTATAAAGTCCATATAAACAAATAAGTAATAAATTTGAAATAAACCCACTTCCATGTCATTTACGGTACTACATAGACTTATTTCCGTTATTTTAAAAATATCTATACAAATACTTATTACAAATCTCTAAACACATTAGATATCTACTAGTATAATAATATAACAATATCACAATTATTCCTGCGTGATTATCATGACATGAAAGTTGAATGTCAAGAGTGAATGAACTTGATAAGATAACAAACGTCATGGTTTTGCTATGAGCACTATTCTATAGTACTGTACAAATATGATATAGTGCAAAAAAGACAACGGGAATGAAACCATTATTAAATCTAAATAATAAATTATTATTAGAACAGACTGTCGGCCTCGGTAGTCTAGCGATTTACCACAATACCGATGGTTAAGGGTTCGATTCCTTGCATAATACAAATATACTACATCGCGATGTTTAAATTGTCCTGCGTTAATACTATTATTATAAGTTTATTTTTACCAAAACTACAAACAATACAAAATAATCAGTAATTTAAAGATGTACCAAACATATAATACAAAAATATATTTATATGAATAATGTGTTTCTTTAGATAGTAATTACATAGATAACATAATATTATATATTAGAATGTCTGATGTAACCCGTAGAGAATAATAACAAACCGTAATTCGGCGCTGTAAAACAGTCCTAACGTAAAACTATATCCGTTTCCTGTCGGCGTTTAAATATTTTTATGTCTCAGAAACCATCCTATAACGTCATCGGCAAAAGTTGGCACGGACCGTGGCATATCCCACGTCCAACTGTGTAAAGTTAAAATCGTAAATTTCAGATCAGAATAAATAAATGTTTTTTACTTTATCTGTTTTTATTTAAGTAAATTTAATATTTCAAGGTGCTTTCCGCATATCACAAGGTTATATATTGTGAGAGATGTCTAATATGTCTATTCCTTCCTGTACGAGTTTCGTCGCCAAGGGCAGTACGTGACCCAATTTGGAGGCAATGACACCATTGAGAATATAGAGCGAGCAGCCTTGACCCTTCTTTCAGTGTTATATTCAGTACATAAAGATCAATTGAAGTCTATTTTTTCTTATAACACCTAATAAACAAGTTAAATCACAACAATAAATTAAAAAGATACACTTACAAAGTGTATCTTATTCAGTATATTGTCAAACTTTACATTTGATTACATAAATCAAAATGTAATCTTGCGAAAAAATTAAGGAAAACCAAGGAAAGAGAATTATTGGCGTAGATGTTGCTCCAAGAAATTATACATATTTTTCGCCTACAATTATAAATATTTTATTTAAATCATTAAAAATATCTATATCTATTATTTGTATTTCTTTATATTATGTAACTAACTGTTCCCGAGACTTCGGCGTGGAATTCAACTATATTTTTCTAAACTAAAAGTAGCCTAAGTTACTCCTTATTACATCAGCTACCTGCCAAAAACATCCCGTCAAAATCGATCCAGCCATTTCAGAGATTAGACGGAACACATAGACAGACAAAAATAATAAAAAATGTTATTTTGGTGTACATATGTACCGCATTTATATTATATGCATGTGCGTGTAGTAAAAAACGGTTATTTCAATATTACTAACAGACACTCCAATTTTATTTATATGTATAGATTAGAATAGCAAGCAAGGTACTACCTGATGTTGATAATCGTTGCCTAGGTATATTGTTATTCATACATATGAACAGCACCATGAACCTATTATTATGTGACACCCATGATACTCATGGGTTTCCATTCCGGAAGATTAAAATCTGATGAGTAATTTCACTACTGCAATGGAAAAACTGACAAAGCAAGAGGCTTGGCGGCTGAAGCATAAAATATCAGGCAAATAGGCAAGCAGAATATGCGTACCGAGGATTTCTAAAGCACTCGTATTTTGTGTATTAACTAGCTGGCTTGTCCTCGTAACATAAATCTTCTTTACATATATAAAACAAAACCATTCAGCGCCTTATTTGCATCTTACAAAAGAAACACAGCTTACAAAGCAAGTTGCTGGGTTACTAAAATACGAATAGTTGAGACTTAGAACGCTGACGATTTTATCTTAAATTAATTGTTATGTGATGTCTTCTTGACTAAGTCTATTACTGCTGTGCATATCTATGTAAACAAAAATTGTAGCGATCCGACTTCAATAATATATCGTTAGATCTATATATGTATCACTTGTTACTGTATTATTTATTTATATCTCTATATGATAGTAATAAAACTGTAAAATGTTTATTTGATTGTACTCGTATATTCGTCTATCAGTATTTTAAACACATCACGTGAAACTACTACATGAATCTTTATAACATTTGGCACAGCTGTTGCTTACACTGAGTCGCTGTCTATCTGTCTGTGTTGCTCCAAGGTACAGATATAAAGTCCATGCATATCAGCGAAATCACTAGCATATCAAGTAACAGTAAATATCAAATAAAAATAATCACTGTAAACTAGTCTTAAAACCTAAAGTATCGTAGTAGCGATTTGCTACGCAAAATGATTTCATAGACATTTAATTCAAAACTGCAATCTGGATTGCCGATAAAATTAATATCACTATCAAATTACATTCTTGAACATCAGTGAAACGAACTCAATTGTACAAATCATCATATAAATTATAAATATAAGGTAATTTATAAATAGGTACATAACGCTATGTCATAAATATGGTATTCATCTACCTTTTTCATTTATTTTCGGCTCGTCCCGAATAGGACAAGCCAGGTACATCTACATGGCAGTGCCTACGCTGTAGAACAAAAGCACCTAATGACTAAACTTGTTGGGAAGCCATTATTATTAAAGGCGACTATTGGTAGTAGAACAATGTACCTTCGTCAAGTGAATCCCCAAGACGGTTCTGGAAACTATCGTGGTGAATTCGCCACCATATTCATCTCATCATCAGCCACTGCTGTTCTGCCAGCATATACCGTTAGCACATCCATTTAAAAAATGCTTCAATAATATTGGATTATAGTTACATATAATTTGGCAGTAAATACAGACTAATTTAAGGTTTCAATGTGACCATTATATAAACACTTTCATAATTGATTAGCATGATAAAACATCTACCTACTTAGTTAAGAATAGTACTTTTAAACGTTTTATTACCCTTACGAAAATTGGTACAAATTAATGACACAATGATATGAAATTAAATGATTTCATATGACTGTTCGACATGGTCGGAGCAACAATTGAGATCAAGTCGCTTATTGGTACAAAACAACTTTCAATCGTGTATCGCGAATGCTCGTTGCAATGGTGGTAAACAATATAAAAGACGTATACACAGTAAATCCGCATACACAGTAAATAAATTGACGTGTAAACAGTAAACAGAGAGAAAATTTTATATTCTATAATTATTATTACATCAGAAGTCATTGGTGCATGCATTTAGAAGATTGAACTATCTATTGATATTCTTGGCGAGAGAAGTCTGCAGTCTACAGACTGTGGTCTCAAGCTAGTGAGCAATACAGAATAACTATGAGAGTAAATGAAAGCAATAGGCCTATGTGAGGACTATGACAGTAGATCCGACTGTCTGGCCTAATATATAATAGAGAATAATAAGTACATATCCACGTAACAGACCGGTGTTATACTCTAATGCATGCATATTACCAAACAAATCCATTGACAACCGACCGCTCGGTGTATATAAAACGAGAATGTAGATAGCTAGTAGAAGAAGAGCGGTGATATATTGTACTCTTTTCCCATTAATTAATAGTTGATTGACTGTATTAAGAACTTTAAATTCGTCCACAAATATCAGTGTCTCGTCCTCGTCATCCTTCGAATAACGAGAACGAGACACCTAAAACTGAATATTTAACATAAAAAAACTACTCTCCACACATAATCAGTCCATAATAATATAAACTAAAAATGTGCTATAGTAACTTTTAATTTAATAATAAATAATAGATAATAATTATTAATCTAATATTGCATAAGATCCAAAGTATGAATTGTTGTTATTCGGATTTGAATGTCTGTCGCATTACCACATAAGTCATTAATTTAAATTACGAGCTTTGAATCATTCAATAAATGTCAAATGAATGTGTTATTTCCCACCGTGCTATAATGCTTTGGCTCTCAGAACTGTAGTGCAGCATGCACGTGTGACGAATCTAGAGCGACTTTGCTGTTATTCGTGTTCTGTGATTAGACACTGATGCCAAAAGCGAAGCGTCATGAAGACGTGGGTGTGCGATACGAAAATATCTACAGCGATTTGAAGACAACGGTCAGTTGTAGACTATGTTGACTTAGAAAATAAGGTCTTGAGACTACAATGAATGAGATTTAAGCGAAATTGTAATAGCCCTTTCAGGCCGACTTTCATTCGATTCAGGTACCTACAGCAAAGATGATATAGTACTATTTACACAAGACAAATAAAACTCGTACAAGTATCGGCTGTGATTATTCTGTATTGTTTATATTTTAAGGAAGTTCATATGCGTCTACTATTGGTCAGTTCATTTAATGGAATTGTTTGTGTTTCGGGCATATTTATTGGCACCAAAATTAAACAAAATTAATACCAATTCACTAGCCAGTTTCAAACTAAACTGTAATTTCAGTCAGGCATCATTTGGTTTTTTATACCTGCTGGATGCTACTTCCACAATTAGGTTTTACAAGTTAGTGATGTTTTTAAAATATGCTCCACGTACAAATTTCTGTGCCTATATACTCTAGGACTCTTAAATTAAAAAACACTAGTAGGTACATATATTGGTTGGTTCAATGATTTATTCAATCTCAAGAGCGATCACTGTTTCAAACCACAACCACTA